TAAACTTCCAAACTTCTAGAAAGACATGGAAGAAGATGAAACTTACTAACATAAAGAATGAAGCTTGGCGGGCAGTGGTGGCGCACGCCTTTAATCCCAGCACTTGGGAGGCAGAGGCAGGTGGATCTCTGTGAGTTTGAGGCCAGCCTGGGCTACCAAGTGAGTTCCAGGAAAGGCACAAAACTACACAGAGAAACCCTGTCTCGAAAAACAAACACAAAAAACAAAAAAAAAAGAATGAAGCTAAAGAATCTACAGACATCTAACGAATGATAAGAGTGTGTGTGTATGTCTGTGTGTGTGTGTGTGTGTGTGTATGTCTGTGTGTGTGTGTCTGTGTGTGTGTGTGTGTGTGTATGTCTGGGTGTGTGTGTGTTTGATAGCTCAACAAAAACAATTCCTCAAAGCACACAACTGCCAAATTACTCAACACACAAAAGATAATTTGAATACCCCTGTAACAATTATAGAAAGTGAAATTAGTGATGTAAAAGAAATCTCTATGCTCTGATGGTTTCACTGGAAAATTCCAGCAAATTTCTCAGGAATTAATCCCCAAAACAGGCATAATGGCACATGACTTTAATCCCAGCACTCAAGAGGCAGAGAGAGGCAGATCTCTGTGAATTCAAGACCAGCCTGGTCTATAAAGACAGCTCTAAGCCAGACAGAACTACACAGTGAGACCCTGTCTCAAAAAAAGGGGGAAAAAGCCAGGCAGTGATGGCTTATGCCTTTAATTCCAGCATTGGGGATGCAGAGTAGGCAGATCTCTGAGTTTGAAGCTGGCCTGGTCTATAGAGCAAGTTTCAGGATAGCCAGGGCTACACAGAAGAAAAAAGAAACAGAGAGAAAGAGAGAAGATTGGCTTAATATTAAAAAATATCAATATAATCTGCCTTAGTAAAAGGCTTAAAAAGGAAAAATCATGATTATACCAAAGAATACATTTAAAAATACTTCAATATTCAACACTCACTTATGACAAAGAATCTCAGAAAAAAACCAATAGAGAGGCCTTCCAGAATTTGATAAAGAGATCTAGACAAGCCTGCAGCTACCACTGTACTAAGTGGTGAAAGGCAGAATGCTTGTCCCATAAGCTTGCGGTCTCGGGAAGAATGTCCTGGTACTAGCAGTTCTCACTACAAGAGTTCTTAAGGAAACAAGTCATTCCAACTGAAAGAGAAATAAAACCGTCCCTACTTGCAGATAATATGCCTGTTTCAGAAGACAATCTCAAAAAACCACTGACAGTTCACAGAATACTAGATGAGCATATACCATGCTTGTTTTTCTATGTATTAGCAATGAAATCAGACATTAAAATTAAAAATAAAACACTGCAAGGAATAGAGAACACCAGTAATCTCAGGACCCAGGAGGCCAAGGCAGGAAGATCGAGTCCAAGGTCAGCTGTACAACTACCAGGGTTCTGCTTCAAAACAAAACAAAGTAAGTAAAAAAAAAAAAAAAAAAATGTGAGACACCATTCACAACCACCTTTTAAAATGGAAATACATGTATATTTCCATTTTATATCCATTCACATATATAAAGAAAAAAAGGAATCAAGAGTACAAGGAGAATCAAACCAAGTTCACAGTCAAATTATCTTCAAATGGGCTTAATGAAATCCCTATTAAACCTCTAAAGACATTAACAGGATTATTCTAAAATTCATAAAGAAAAGCAAAAGAACTAGAATAAGAGTTGTTTTGTTTTGTTTTGTTTTCCAAAAGAAAAAGGTGCAAAGAATATAGTCTGTGGTTTTAAAGCTCTAGTATTGGTATTGGGATATAAGCACAGATCAGTAAAACAGAATAGAAAACCAAGAAATAGACTCACTCCTACATCCTACTATGATCTTTGACAAAGATACAAAAGCAATCCTAGAAACAGCCTTGTTCCATAAATGATACCAAAGCAATTAGATATCCATGTGTAGAAGAAATCACCAGATACCTTCACATTAAAAAAAAAAAACCCTCAAACCTGGCCATGGTGACTCACACCTTTACTCCCAGCACTTGGAAGGTAGAGATAGGCGGATTTCTGTGAGTTCAAGATCAGCCTAGTCTACATAGTGAGTTCCAGGACAGCCAGTGCTATGAAGAGAGACTTAGTCTGCAGTTGCTGGCTGTTTGGGGAGGATCAGGAAGTGTGGTCTTGTCGGAGAAGATATGTAACTGGGTTTGAGGTTTCGATACACCACTACCACTCTGAGTTATCTCTGTGCTTCCTATCTGCAGAACAAGATGTGAGCTCTCACCTATTGCTGCCACCATGCCTTTGTTCCACCATCTAGGCTGGCCTGGAACTCACAGAGACCCGCCTGCCTCTGCCTCCCAAGTGCTGGGATTAAAGGTGTGTGCTACCACTGGCCAGCAAATGCTTTCTTTTATAAGTTGCTTTGATCATGGTGTTTTGTGACAGAAATACACAAGTAACTAGACAGGATCTAAGATTAGATCTTAAGCTTAAACCTTACACCAAAAGTACAATCCACAGCAGAAAAAAATATGTAAACTATGTAAACATTTAAAACTTCTGCCTTGTAAAGAGAAGGAACGGCTAAGTTACAAATAACGGTCCTTACAAGTGACACACCTGAAAAAGGAGTAGCGTCTAGGACACATAAAGGACCCTCAGTCTCAGCTGGGCGGTGGTGGTGCACGCTTTTAATCCCAGCACTCGGGAGGCAGAGGCAGATAGATCTCTGTGAGTTCCAGGCCAGCCTGGTCTACAGAGTGGGTTCCAGGACAGCCAGGGCTATGCAGTGGAACCCTTGGTCTCAACAACAGTAGGAAAGCAAATGACCTGATTAGACCACAAATAACAGACACACTTCACAGAAGATAAATAGATGGCACATGAGCCACTTGTGTTGAACAAGAAAAGATGTTCGACATCATCAGTCATTAGGAAAATACAAATTAAAGCCAGTGATAGCCGAGTTAGGGCACACACCTAGAACGCCAGCATAGTGAAGGCTGAGGTAAGACAATCACAGTGTGAGGCCTCTGTCTCAAACAGCCAAGAGCTGGAGATGCAGCTCAGTGGCACAGTGCTGACGTGTTACAGAGGCCCTGGTTCAACCTCTGGCACTGAAAAGAAAATACCCAAAACGACAGAGCACTAGACAGCTACATAAATAGCCAAAATACAAGAAATGACAACAGCAAATACTGGCCATGAAACTACATCACTGCACCCCCACTGTTAGTAGGAATGTGAGGAGGTGTAGCTGCTCTCCAAAAGCGTGGCAGTTTCTTTAAAACACTAAGCACACAACTATCACAGAATCTATCAAATATACTCCTGTGCCTCTATCTCAAAGAAATGAAGTCCTGTTCAAATAAAACCTGTATTTAATTGTTTATAGCAATTTTATTCCTAAGAGCTCAAAACCACAAACACCCTAGATGTCCTTAAATAGATGCATGACCAAACAGAGTGTGATATGTGTATTTATACTGTGGATTATTACTCTGCAAATTAAAAGGAATGGATTATTAACACACATAATGGCATGGAGCAATCTATAGATAATTACACTTAACAGCTAATCTACTGTATGACCTTAAATTTAGTGGTGGGTTTTGTGTGTGTGTGTGTGTGTGTGTGTGTGTGTGTGTGTGTGTGTGTGTGTGTGTTGCTAAGATAGAACCCAGGAATTTATGCATGCTAGGCAAGTGCTCTACCACTGGCCCAATGGCCTACATTCCTAGCCCTGTCTAACAGTCTGACTAATGAATATAAAAACACTGAGCAGATTAGTAAGTGCCAAATGTTAAGGACGGGGGAGGGTGGTAATGGTTATGAAAGGCAATAGGAGAGATCATCCTAGTGCTGCCCCTGCACACACAGTAAGCTGTGTGTACTTGTGCACAGAGGCCACAGTGGAGCATGCTGCCCCTGGCACACACAGTAAGCTGTGTGTAC